AGGGGCCGGAGCCTGGCACCACGGTCCCAGCAGCCACAGCAGCCACAGGAGCCGAGCAGGGTGCGGGAAGTGGCCCGCAGCGCTTGTGGGTTTGTGCTGGGCATAGCCCTGGCCAGCCTCTATGGGGCTCTGGTGCTGCTGGCACAGGGCCACAACATCTGGTACTGCCTGATCACCACCATCGGCCTGGGCGCCCTGCTGGGGCTGGGCATGGCCTTCTCTGCCAAGGCGCAGGTCACGGTGCTGCTGTCGCTGCCCCAGATCTTCACCCGTAAGCAGCCACCAGGAGCCACTGGGAGGGATGGGGGGAGCGCCAGGTCGCAGCTGAGCCCCAGGACCACCCTGTCCCGCAGAGGAGGGGAAGATGCTGATGCTGCTGCTGGCGCTGACCATGGCCGTGCAGGGCCCCTGCGCCAACGTCCTGCACAACTTCTCCCGTGCCGCCGAGTCACTGTCATGCGGGGCTGAGCTCGCCCTCAACCAGACAGCCGAGAGGCTGCAGCGCGCCCAGGAGCCACTGATCAGTGAGATGAGGGGCCGGGGGATGTGGTGGGACGTGGGATGGGACTGGAACAGAGGTGGTAAATCCCATGGTTCTATGGGACAGTCACTTCCCGCAGCAGTATCCGGCCCTGGGCTGCCCCTCGGGGTGTGCTCAGGGGTCTCCTCTCTGCAGACTTTCTGTCCAAGATCAAGGAGATTGCACAGGAAGCCAAGGCAGTGGGTGACCGCGTCCGCAAGTTCTTTCGCTCCATCATGGATGCCGTCAGCCACGTCGGTGAGTGGGGGGGTCCCCGAGGGTCTCCCTTGCCTCCAACACCCCCACCCTGCTCTCAGCCCCATCACCTGCCCGTCTCCCATTGCCTTCTCCCCTTCTGCAGCCCGAGCCCTGCACAACGTGTGGCTGTGGCTGGCGAGCATCGGCCGGGTGTGCAACAAGGAGCTGGGCTCGCCCTTCTACCGCTGCCTGAGACTCTTTGAGGAGGCCAAGGACAACTGCGAGCGCGCCATCCCCTTCCTTTTCTTCCTCTGCTACATCATCACTGCCTTCAAGCCTCTCTGCGGGCTGGCCAACGGTGCGTGGGGCCCTACCCTTCTGTGGGGGGGTCAGTACAGTGGCCCCGTGCCCACCGCAGGGGTCCCACCCTGGCAGAGATGGCAGAGACCCCCCCTCCCCGCAGTTGCCCTCGTCTTCTGCATCATCCCACAGTACATCCAGAACTTCATCCAGACCAACGTTGCCACCTGTGAGTAGAGCAGTGCTGGGGGGGGTCCCTATGCCCTGTCCCCGCTCTCACCCTGACCCCCAGCACCACTTGTCACCCCCACAGCCCTCAACAATGCTCTGGACCGTGTCCGCCGGGAGTTTGAGTTCAACATCTCGGCCGTGCACGAGTTTGACATCAGCTTCAACGCCAGCAAGAGCCTGGGAGAGGTGGCCCTGGACATCATGGAGGGTGTGAGCCAGAGCATGGAGCCCACCCGCCGCATTCTGGGGCTCTTCCTGAACGTCTCCTTCCTCGCTATCCTCTACATGTACTTCAAGTGAGTGGGCCGGGTCCTGCTCTGCCCCCCCGTGGGGACAGGGACTGAATGTGCCAGTGCCCAGCTCCCCCCATGTCCCCAGGGCGCTGCGGTACCGGCACCGGTACCTGCAGGATGAGACCTTCGACAACATCTACATCACACGGCGCTTCATGGAGCTGGACCAGCTGCGGGCAGAGCAGGGCAAACCCACAGTGCTGCCTCTGACAGCACGGGAGTGCGGCCTCTACATCTCCCCAGGTCAGCCCCATGTGCGGGGGCATCCCCAGGCGAAACCTCTCTGCCCAGAGCCTGGCTTCACGTCGTTCTTGCCCGCAGCTGGGCTGTGGCTGTCACGGAAGGAGCATCGCCAGTACGGGCTGCAGCTCGTGGGGTTCCTGCGCCACATGCTGCTGGGCTTCTGCATCATCCTGGCTGACTACAGCCTCTTCTGGCTGCTTGACCTCATCCGGCACCAGCTGCAGGGGGAGATTGTTGCCAGGGGTGAGCAGCACCCACCGTGCCAGAGCAGCAGCCTTGGGTGCTTTGCTGGCTGGGGCCCAGGGCTTTGGGGCGGTGGGTGCTCCATTGCCTGGGTCTGAGCCGTTGTCCCCCCCAGCACCGGTGGTGGTGGGTGTCAGCGTCAATGGGTCAGGCTACACCAGTGAGATCTACCGGGACTTGGTATCTGCCTTCGGTGTGCTGCAGCAGGGCAACATCTCGGTGGTGTCCCAGCGCTGCCTCATCCAGCCTGAGGAGCCCGACTACAGAACCTACGTCTTCATGGGTGACGGGGTGTTGCACCCACAGAATGCATGGCGTGGGGGGGTACTGGAGGGATTGCCCCGTGTGACTCATCTTGCTCCCACCAGGAATCCTGTACGGCATCTGCCTCTTCATCTCCATCTTCGGCAGCTACGTGGCACGGCTGCGCCGGCTGGTGTGTGCCACCTATTACCCGAGCCGTGAGCAGGTGAGGAGCCCACCCCCAGCTCCCCAGCATCCTGCCAGCAGCCGCCTGCCCTCACCCCTTCCCTGTCGTGCCAGGAGCGCACGGCTTTCCTGCACAGCACCATCCTGGCACAGCGGGCAGGGCTGGCACGAGCCCTGCTCCGAGCCGCCACACTGCGCACGGCCGACGCCGGGAAAGGGAACTTGTTTCTCGTCCTCACTGCCAAGTAAGCCCCCCGAGGGATGCATCCATGGGCTTGGAGCCACCCTGGACACACAAGCACCTTGCTGGGCACTGCAGAAGGGCAATGCCGGCCCCGGCAAGGGCAGACCCAGCAGTGACGGAGCTCTGCCTGCAGGGTGCCCTGCTTTGCCCGCCTGGCTCGGCTCTTTGGCATCCAGCAGAAGCGCTGCCTGGCCTGTGGGGTGACGAAGCAGCCCGACTTCATCACCTGCATCACAAACGGATGCAAAGGTAGGACCCCCCTAAATGGGGAACAGGCAGCCCCCAAGATCTCCCACCCCTCTCACAGTGCCATTGTCCCCAGGGCTGTACTGCAGAGACTGCCACCAAACCCTGAACAACATCTGCACCATCTGCATGGGCCCCCTGACCTACCCGGACGTTGGGGACAAGGAGATGTGAGCAGGGGGTGCAGGGACCCCGCAAAGCCCGGGGGCCGGGGCACTGCAGCTCACCCCTTGCCCCGTCCTTGCAGAGACTCCAGCGATGAGGAGACGGTGGGGCTGTGGCTGGGCGCTGTGCGAGCGCGGCGGGGCCTGGAGCAGGGGCGGCTGCTGCGGCAGCGCATCAGGGAGCTGGAGAGGGGCTTGGGGGGCTCCCGGCGGCTGCCCCCCAACCTGGCAGCGCGGCTGCGAGCCCAGCTGAAGGAGGAGGCGAGCGGGGAGAGCGACGGGGGCAGCAGCGAGGTGGAAAGCGAGAGCAGCTCTGTCTCCAGGTGAGGGCCGGCGCTGCTCCCGGCACCCATCGGCACCGGGGGTGCAGTTCCCCGACACCTCTCTCCCCTGCCCCAGCCTGGACTTTGGCTACCAGGAGCGGCGTGAGAGCAGCGGCAGCGAACTGGAGGAGGTGGTGACCCTGCGGCCGCCCCGCGGCACGGACAGGGCTCGGTGACGCCCGCACGGTGCCACGCGGCGGCGAGGACGCGGAGCCAGGCCCCGGGACGTGGCTGGAGCGCCGGGAGCCGCCGGGGCTGGTCAATAAAGTACCCGGTTCCCGAGGCGTCCGGTATCCCGAGCTAATGCCCGGCTGCCCATGGCCGTTCCGACCGCGTGGGGCCACCTTCTCCATCCCACAGAGCCCCCTGCCCCACGGTGCCCTCAGCCCTTCAATGTACCCATCCCCTCACTGCCCCCGTCCCCATCCCTACTGTGCCCCAGCCCTGCTCACCGCGCACCCCCCCGGACCTGAGCGGAGTTGCCTGGGGAGGGCCGTGGGACGGACGGACACGGGCGCGGGATGGACGGACACGGGCGCGGGGGGGTCCCTGCTTCTCCGTTTATTACCAAGCAGCCTTCGTTTAAAAAAAACAAAACACAAACAGACAGACAGACAGACAGAGGCGACGCGGCGGGGCGGGGGGGGGGAAGGGGGGAGGGCCGCCCGCCGATTATTCGTTTGGTTCCTGACACCAAAGAGGTTCAAGTAGCCGAAAGATTCAAGTTCACCATAAGGCACTTTAAAGCCATGACGGGGGCCGAGCCCCGCGTCCCCATCACCCCTCCCGGCACCCCATGGCAAGGGACAGAGGTGGGGGCCGGGCAGCGCTGGCGGCAGCAGCGGAGGGGCCGGGAAGGGGTGGGGGGGGGGGGGGGAATATATTACATCACTTTTTTAAATATAGATAAACTCTTATTTTAGGCAAATAGTGCCGGTCCCCTGGTCCCCCCCGGGGGGGATGCGCCCGAGAGGGAGGGCATGTGCAAAGGGCAGAGGAGTGGCCGCTGGGGTCCGGCCACCCGGGAGGGGGGGGGTCCCACAGGGCCGCGGTGGTTTATAGAGGGTGGGGGGAGTCGGGTGGGGGCCGGGGCTGCCCCGCACCCGGGCGGGGTCACCCGAATAGTGCAACCAAGAGAAAGCAGCCGGGAGTGCAGGGGCGAGGGGGTCTCGCCGGGGAGGGGCTGCTCGGGGAGGGGAGGGGGGGGGACAAGCGATGCGCAGCGCGGGGCGGGGCCGCCACTGGAAGCGCTCCCCGGTTGGGGGGCGGGGGGGTCGGTCCGTGGGGGCCCCCGACCGGTCCCGGCCCCGCTGATGCTGAGGGGGTTTTGTCCCCGGAGGGTTGGGGGGGTCACCCCGGTCCCGCTTTGCCTCCCCCCCCTACTCCTCGCAGACCCCCGGGGGGGGGGGGTCCCGTGTCCGGCGGTGGGGGAGAAGGCAGCGGGGACCCCCCCCCCCGCATTGTGCAAATCGGCCAGGGGTAGTTTCCCCCTTTGCATAACTGGGAATGAACCGTGACGGGATAAACGGGAACAGAACCCGCGGCGGGTACGGCTCGGCTCAGCACCCGCCGCCGCAGCTACCCTACGCCGTCTCCACCTTCACGGCGCCGTCCGGCTGCGGCCCTTCCTCACCCTCCGCCTCCTCTTCCTCTTCCTTGATCCTTCCCGGACCCCAGTAGCGGGCGAGGGAAAGGCGCAGCCCCTCCAGCCGCCCGTTGGACAGGTCGAGGCCGGGGGGACCCACCGGTGGCGGCGGCGGCTCCTCGCGGCGGCGGCGGCGGGTCCGCACCTCGAGGCAGTTCTGGCCCTTGAGGTGCCGCTGGAGGTGGTCGTCCTTGGCGAAAGCCTTGTGGCAGAGGTAGCACTCATAGGGCCGGGCGCCCGTGTGCAGGTGCATGTGGTTCTTCAGGTCGTAGCTGTGCAGGAAGCGGGCGCTGCAGTGCTGGCAGGAGTAGGGCCGCTCGCCCGTGTGCTTGCGCATGTGGATCTTCAACTTGTCGTTCCTGGAAGGGGGGTACAGGCAGACATCGGCACGGGGCAGCCGGCAGCCCCCAGCAGCAGCCACGCGGCTGCAGGGGGGCGGTGCTGGCAGCCAAATGGCAGGGATGGGATGTGGAGCAGGGATGCTCTGCAGAATGCAGGGGTCTGGTGGGGCAGGAGGCAGTGGTGGTGGTGGGCAATGGGTCCCTGTTTTTACCGCACCAGAGATGCAGCCAGGTACAGGTAGAGGATGCTGGCCTGGGTGGCAGGCAGGGCAGGTCATGGAACCATGGAATAGTTTGTGTTGGAAGGGACCTTAAAGCTCATCCAGTCCCAACCCCATGCCATGGACAGGGACACCTTCCACTAGAGCAGATTGCTCCAAGCCCCATCCAACTTGGCCTTGAACACTGCCAGGAATGGGGCAGGCAGTGCCAGCGCCTTCATCCTGACGTTTCCAGCAGCTCTCCAGGAGTGCAGAAGACCCCATGGACCTGCGCTGCCCCATGCCTGGCTGCAGGGAAGGTGTCATGGGGGATGCTCTCTGGTACCCGTCAGGCCGCACCCACCTTGTGAAGCGGACCCCGCAGACCTGGCAGGCGAAGGGCTTCTCCCCCGTGTGCGTGCGCATGTGGCGGGGCAGCTTGCCGGCGCCGTGGATGACCTTGTGGCATACGGGGCACTCCTGGGGCATCTGCGAGCGGCGCTTCCGCACCAGCTTGTCAGGCGTATCCAGCCCCGGCGCCAGCGACTCGTGGTGCAGCGAGCTCAGGTACGCCATCAGGTCGGGGTCAATGGCGTCCTCATCAGAGGCGGCCTCCTCAGGGGACAGGGGAGGCTGGTAGGGGAAGGGGAAGGGATGCGGGGCCAGCTCCTCCTCCTCGGGCAGCTCAAAGCTGTCGTAGGACAGAGGTAGCCCCTCGGGCAGGGGGGGTGAGGGCGGCTGGGGGGGCGGCGGGGGGCTGCTGCAGCCTTCGGCCTCGGCGGGCGGCTCCTCGGCGTGGTTGTTGAGCCGGGCGCCGCGGGTCTGCAGGAACTTGCGGGTCTTCTTGCTGCGGCGTGCGGCGGGGCGCGAGGGCGGCGGGGCCAGGAGCTCACCCTCGGGCAGCGCGGCGAAAGCCTCCAGGTACTGGCGGGCGCGCTCGCAGTCGCCGTCGTCGGGGCCGGGCGCCTCCATGCCGCTGCCCTGCAGGATCTCCACGCAGGCAGCGATCACGCAGGGGATCTCCAGCAGCCGCGCGGCGCGCAGCACCTCGCCCATGTTGGCGCTGCTGATGGTGAGCGTGGCCGTGTAGGCGAACTCCAGCAGTGCGCCCAGCGCCTCCGGCCCGACAAAGTCCAGCTCGCAGACCTCCTGCCCCGGCCCCGGCCCCGCAAAGAGCTTCTTGAAGTAGCGGCTGGAGGCGGCCAGGACGGCGCGGTGGGTGCGATACTCCAGCCCCTGTGTCTTGATGGTGACATCGCAGAGCAGCCCCATCTGCCGCTGCTCATTCAGGCAGCTCAGCAGCTCGCTGCTGTGCTCGGGGAAGGGGATGCCGATGAGGTCATCCTCCGGGCTGGCCATCATCCTCACCTGTGGGAAGGACGGGGATGCTTACTGACCAGCACGGGGACTGGCCGAGAGACGGCGCTCGGAGGAAACGCCGCCACGGAGGAAGCATTGGCTCCACCGCGAAGCCAGGGTGTGAAGAAACCTCCATTGCTCAGGGCTTGGTGGCGGTGGCACAAGGGACACCAAACCCAGGCACCTTGTGGGGCGCTGGGGGCTGCCCTCACCCCCCACAGCCCATACTAAGGGTGGTGGGCGCACGGCGCCCGCCGCAGCCCCCCACACGCTTCCTCTGCCGGCAGCACCGGGTGCCCGCGCTGCCCCCCCGGCGCCACCACAGCAAAGGGGGAAATCTCAGCGTGGTGCCTTTGAGCGGGCGCCGAGGCGCGGCGCTTCCTGCCCCAGCCCACCCACCTGCGGCCCCCCGGCACGGCCACGGTGCAGCCGCCAGCTCCCGGCAGCACCGTGCTGGGAGCGCGGCCTCACTGGCACCGCGAGGGTGGGTGGCGAGTGCCGGGAAGAGGAGCCTGGCCGGGCTGGGAACGGGGGCCACGTTTCCTGCCACCACAGATTAGGATCAGCACCCGCGCCGCCAGCTCCTGCCCCCGCTCCCGGTGGGGGCCGGGCCCCTTTCCCTCCTGCTTTGCCCCAGCCTGGGGCCGCTCCTCGCCCAGCCAAGCCCTGCCTGCGCCAGCCCGGCCTTTCCCACGCTGCGCTGGCAGGGCTTGGCCTCAGCCACAAACCTGGCACCGCCAGCACTGGCACCGGGGTCCCCATGGAGCTGCGCTGGGAACATGCAGCATCCCCGTGGAGCCGGTGCAAGCAGGCGATGGAGTCTGTGGGAAGAGGGAGCCTGATACTCCCCTGTCCCACAGGCAGGGTACAGGCAGCAGCAGTGGCTCCAGGGCTGCAACCTGGCCTGTAATGCTGTGCCCCTTCATGGGGAATGCCCTCCCTGCTGCCTGGTGCAGCTGAGTGACACTGGGGCTGCTGGGTGATACCTGCCCTGTCTCCCAGACAGTGGGGCTGCTGGTGACACCAGAACTGCCGGGTGACACCAGAACTGCAGGTTGACACCAGAACTGCTGGGTGGCACCGGGGCTGCAGGGTGACACCAGAACTGCAGGGTAGCACTGGGGCCGCAGGGTGACACCAGAACTGCAGGGTGACACCAGAACTGCAGGGTGGCACCGGGGCTGCAAGGTGACACCAGAACTGCAGGGTTACACCAGAACTGCTGGGTGACACCGGGGCTGCAGGGTGACACGGGGCTGCAGGGTGACAGCAGAACTGCTGGGTGACACCAGAACTGCTGGGTGGCACCGGGGCTGCTGGGTGACACCAGAACTGCAGGGTGGCACCGGGGCCGTAGGGTGACACCGGGCTGCAGGGTGGCACCGGGCTGCAGGGTGGCACCGGGGCTGCAGGGTGACACCAGAACTGCAGGGTGACACCAGAACTGCAGGGTGGCACGGGGGCCGCAGGGTGACACCGGGCTGCAGGTCTGTCCTGCCTGCACCCTGGCAAAGGCAGGGGCAGGCGCACAGCACCATGCCCGGCTAGGGGCGCTGCCGGCTCCGTGCCGTGTCACGCGGAGCCGATGTAGGAGTGGACATCGCCGCGCCAGACCCACCCGAGCCCCGCCGCCCTGCGCCGGCCGCGCCAAGCCGCTCCGTGCCGCCGGCGGCCGCGGGGGACGTGCCCCCTCTTGCCCGCGGAGGGGCGGCGCGGCCGCGGCCCCCGGCACAGGGGCCCATCCCCGCGCCGGCCGCTCCCTGCGCTTGGGCGGCCGCCAGCTGGGGCTGCCTCGGCAGGCGGCTGGGAACGGCCCCGGAGCAACCGGCTGCGAAGCCGCCCCAGCCGCTGCCGAGCAGGCCCGACCGGCAGGGCAGGCAGCAGCCGCCCCTGAAACTGGGAGCCGGGCAGCGCCGACCGCCCGGGCTGCGGGCGCTGGCGCCAGGCGCTCCACGGCTGCCCCAGCGCCTGGCAGGAGCCCGTGGCGCCGCCGGCCGGGGTCCCTGCTGCGGCGGGGGCGAGCGGATTAGGGGTGATTAAACCATCAGGGCCCTGGGAGCCAACAGGCAGCGACAGCCCCCGGTGGGATTAGGCAGGATTAGCAGCGGGGGCAGGATTAGGGGAGGTGAGCGCCCTGAGACATGCCTGGGGCAGTGGGGACGCGGTGCCCATGGGGGCGGCCCTGAGCACTTCGGACCCCAAAGGTGGTTGCAGGTGATGGTCCCATGATGGGTGGCGTCCATCTCCTCCTCCAGCTAAAGACCAGTGTCAGCGGGATGGATCCCCTGGTCCTCCACAGCACCCTCAGCCCCCTGAGACTCCTGGCACAGGGATGATGGTGCCACCAGCATGTGCCCACCTTGGAGCTCCCACACCCGGGGTCCCTGAGCCCAGCATCGCAGCCTAAGCGCCATCCATACTCACAGGATGGGCACAGCCACCCGCCTCACCGTGTCACCGTGCAGGTGGGAGCAGCCTGAGCACTGCCGGTGCCGCGGAACCCGTCGTGGCGCAGGCCCAGCACAGCCCAGTGAGGAGCTGGGACCCCCGAACGCAGCCGTGGGGCCATGGACAAGGGCACAGGGCTGGCGCGGGGCGGGGGCGAGGCAGCGGCAGGAGGGGGATTTTCCATCGCCCCAAACCGCCTCCTTCGCCAACACCCCCACCCACCGCGCATCCTCCCCGCTGGAGAAGTCACATGCTGAGCGGGTGCTGCCATCAAGGAGATTACAGCGGCGATAAGGAAACGGGGGGGGACAAGGTGTGAGGCTGCCAGAGACACCCCTGGCCCCCAGTGCTGTGCCGGAGCCTATGGTGCAGGAGGCATGGGCCGGGGAGGGGGCTGGCGGCGATGCCGGGGCCCCCGCCGCACCGGGGCTGTCTCGGTTACGTCAATGCCTGCGGCTGGGCCCATCTCAGCTGCGGCAGCCACACGGGGCCGAGGAAAGGGGGGGTCGCTCCCCAAGCAGAGCCGGTTCTCGTGCCGGGGCGGGTGGCAGCAGGAACAATGCCTGCCCAGGTCACCCTGACACCGCGCTGCCTGGCACAACCATGGCCAGCCCCATTCATCTGCCAGCTCCCCCGGCCATGGGGGTCTGGCTGCCCTGGCACAGCCACATGCAGCAGGGTGGGGGTCTGGCCCTGAAGAGAACTGTGTGAGAACTGGCTCCATCCAATGCTGCCGAGCCCGGATGACACTCTGCATGCCGACACAGTGCCAGCTGCTGCCACCAGCTTTGGCTGGGGATGGTGGGGGTGCCTTGGGCTCCCCCCATCTGCTCCCCCATGGGGAAGGGGTCCCAGTGAGCACAGCCCCCACCCTGGCTGCTGCCAAGCACTTTCAGTCACAGGAGTCACAAACGCTGTCGAGGGACTTCACAGCCGCACTGGGGAGAATGAGTCACCCAGGAAGGGGAGCGCAGCGCCAGGCATGGACCTGGCCCTGGCCCCTCATCCCACAATGGCCCCTGCATACTTAGGGAGCCAGAAAGGGGTCTGGGACCTGCATCCCCCCTGCCTCGGCCCACACTGTCCTGCCTGAAGCCAGTGGGGAGTGGCAGTGGTGCCGGTGCCAGCTGCCGTGGTGTGGGGGGGTAGCATGGCGAGGGGCTGTGCACCCCCTCTGCCCACCCAGCAGCAGGCTGGGGTCCAGCTGGGCTGGTGGCCCCATGGTGGGCAAACGCCAGGGTCCGTGCGGGTGCTGGAGGGATGGTGCCAGGGGAAGCAAACGGCTCTTTGAAGAAAGAAGAAAACAGCGAGCAGAGACGAAAGGAAATGGTTTGAAGAGAGGAGGATAAACAGAGCCCCCAGCCCCACCCTGGACCCCCACTACCGCCACGCTCCTCATGCCCACAGTGCCACCAGGGCAGCTTCTAGGCCCCTGGCACCACCAGCCCTGCATGGGCACAGCCTCCATAGGCACTGAGGAGGGGTCTGAGTGCCACGGCCTAGCTCCTGCGGCCCGGTGCCAGGATGCCGGGGTGGAGGCTGGGCAAGGGCAGCAGCCACAGTGCCAGCACCTGCAGCAGGGAGCAGCCCAGCTGAGCTCCCACACCAGCTCCCTGCCCACCGGCTCCACGATGGCACCATGGCCCCATCCCAGCACCACAGCCCCCTCCCGCTGCCGTCCCCACCACCCATCCCAGGCGCATCCAGCTCCTGGCATCACCACCGCAGGGTGTGGGCCCTGCTCTGCTGGGCTGCGGTGACCTGGACCTCGCCATCCATCCCGTCCCATCCCGTCCCATCCCGTCCCACTGGCAGCGAGGGCGGTGCAGGGTGCAGGCGACGCCAACATCCCGGCAGCCTTCTGCCGGTGCCAAGGCAGCTCTGCCCGGCCCTCCCTGCTCCCGGTGGTACCACGCCGTGTCCCCACCGCCCCGGCACCTTTGTGACCGCGCTGTCCAGTGGTGCCGGGTGGGCAGAGGGCTCACCTGGCAGGGGTCCTGGCAGGGCTCGGCACCGTGCCGCGGCCGGGTTGGCGGCGCGAGCGGCAGGGAGGGGAAGGCCGGGTGCTGTGTGAACTTGGCCCCGCTCCCCGCTGCACTTGAGCGCAGGATCCCACCTCAAAAGGAGTCGACGCCCACACCCCGGGTCACGCACCTCCCAGCCCCGCTTCCCAGAACACACACGGCATTAACCCTTCACGGCCGGCGCCGTGCCGTGGGTCCCAACCCGGAACCAGGCAGGGGGCATCCCCGGGCCCCTTCCCGCGGGAGGAAAGCCCCAGCACCGGGAGCACCGGCACCTGGTGCCTCGAGCATCCCCTCTCCGCCGCCCGCATCGCTGTCCCGACGCCTGCCAGGCCCCCCACGCCAAGGCGTCAATGGGCGCTGGCCCTCCCGCCGCCCCAAGGAAGGGCGCTGGGTGCTGGGTGCTGGCCGATGGCTGCGGCTGGCCCGGCCAAGGCAGGAGGGCGCCTGCGCTTGGCGGGAGCAGGGCTGCCACCACAGGGTTGGGCTTGGTCCGGCGTGCCGGGGCCTGCCCAGCGGGCCCCGGAGCCAGCCCCCGGCCCTGCCGATGCACGTCCTGCTCTGCCCCCGGAGCAGGTCCCCACTGTCCCACAGGGGATGCTGTGACCGTGGGGAGGGGGGATTCTGGTCCTGCTTGGCCCCCTGTGCCAGGGCACCCACGGGCCCCTCGTGCCCCCACAGCCCCCAGGGGCCGGCTGCAGGTTCGCGCAATCCCCCCCCCCCCATAATTACACCCTCTGCATCCCCAGCTAAACAGCAATTAGCAGCGCAGGGAGCGCTCCCCACACCCCACCGCCAGCATCCAGAATCCGCCCTGGCCACCCACACCAGCATGGCCAGTGCCGTGCCAGGGCCCTGCCGTGGGGCTGCCCCCAGAAAGGGGAAGAGCCACACAGCAGGCAGGGAGGGGGCCTCCAGCCCCAGCAACACTTGTGGAATGAGCCGGGTTGTGCAAGAGCCCGACCATACGAGCGGGCAGAGAGGATGGCAGAGGGGCACTGCCCGTGACCGCGCATCGCCCATGCAGGGCAGCTCGTCCCCTGCCACTGCGGTTCAGGGGCTGTGGTGCTGCGGGTCATCATGAGGCAGGGAGAGCAGACACCGTGTGGCCATGGAGCAGCGCTGGTGCAGGCAGTGGTGGTGCAGGCAGCATGGGGCTTGGGAGCAGGGATGCTGCAGCCTTGCCCATCACACGTCCACGATGCCTGAAGGCCCCATCGGGGAGCACAGCTCAGGGGCAGCATCCCAGGTGGGACGAAGGGGAGGGATGCAGCACCCTGCTGCCAACCCTCTGCCTGCCCTTTGCTCCCCATAAAGGAGGGGAATGGCGCCAGCCCCCCCGGCGAGGTGTGCCTGGTGCTAAGGGCGGGAGATAAGGTGGGCGAGGCGGGCAGGGAGGGGCACGGATGGGCACGGCATGGGCACGCAGCCTGACTCAGGGTTCCCGCTGGTGGCCAGGCCCCGCTGGGTGACTCACCACGGCCCCCCCACCCTGGGGGTGTTGCAACCGCTCATGTGCCGACCACAAACTGCTGCTTGCCCCGGCTGGGGGGCACCAAGCGGTGCCCACCCATAAGGGACCAGGCGGTGGAGGTGCTGGCCTCTGGGTAGGATGGGCTGACCTTCATCCATGCTCCTCCATGCTCAGCCCCTGCCTTGGGCAGAGGCACCTTGACCACTGTCACCACTGATGCGACACGAGCTCCAGCAGCATCCTAGCTCCTACATGGCACCAGCCCCACTCCTGACAGTAGGATGCTGTCCAGCCATGGGCATCCCCATCCCCTGCACCACATCCTGACACGGGAAACCCCGTCCTGCCAGGACAGCGGGTCCTACAGCCACCTGCTTACCCATGGGTGGCCAGGACAGATGTGGCCAAGGGCATGTGGCCTCTGAGGATCACCCATGGGCTCCCTGCTGCGAGCATCACCCACTGCAAGAGGCCGCTCGAGGCCAGACACGGGCTGCCCCCAGCTGCTCCCTCATGGGCCTACAGACAGGAGCAGGCAGGGGGAAGGAAGCAAGGAAAGAAGGAAGGAAGCAAGCAAGGAAGGGGTTGTTGAAATGGAACCTGGGAACAGGGGGAACAGGAAGGAGATGGTCAATAGCAAACCCCATGTTTGATCACCACAGCACAGGGTGAAACCCATTCGAGGTACCCCAGCAGTCAGGGCTGCAGTCGAGGTGGGACGTGTCCAGTGCCCAGCCAGTGCCCAGCCTACCCCTGACAGCAGCAAGAGGGGCCCGGTGGAGCCAGGCCCCGGCTCGCACAGCCCGGCCTGGCCAGGACCTCACTGGGACGGGGCAAGGCTCTGCTAGCGGCGGCAGCGGGACGAGGCTCTGAGCTCCCAGCCTGGGACCGACAGCGCTGCCCGCGGCGGGTCCCATGCACAGACCCCAGGGTGAACCGGCTCTGGTGCTCTCCCTGCAGCGCACGGTCACGGGAGCCCCTTGGAGAGCAGCCAGGCCCCCAATTCCGCCGCTCTGCACAGCCCCGGGGGAGCCCCCAGGCTGGCGGCATCTCCTCCCCACCGAGAGGTCCCTGTCCCGGCAGCTCCCGGAGGCTGAGCGCCGGCAGCCGGCACCGGCCGGGTCCCGGGGCTCACTCCGGGCTGCGGGGCGGCGCTGGCCCCGGTGGGGTCACCCGGCAAGGACAGTGCCAACCCACAGCCCCCCCCTCCACACCCCTCGAAATAGCCCGGCTTCCGCCCCCAGAGCGCTGCCTGCTGCCAGCTCCCGCTGCCCACGGCTGATCCCAGGGGAGCGCGGGGGGGGGGGGGGGGGGCAGGCGGCTCTAATCCCCCCCGAGCCCACGTAGCGCTGCCAGCGGGGCTGTGCCCGGCACGGCTCGACCCACGCAGCACCGCGAGCAGGACCACAGAAAGCCCCGTGCCGTGAGAGGGCGAAGCCGGACGTGGAGCGCCCCTGCGGCACATGGGGCTGCCCCCGGCCCCGAGCCCCGCCAGGATGTTTGTCCCCACCGCGCTGGCTCACTCTGCACAGCCCAGACGAGACGGGAATCCCCTTCCCCTCCCCTTCTTGGGACAGAAGCGGAGCATCCTCCTGCCCATCTTCACCGCAGCCCCCTGCGATACCCGTGGGAGGGGAACTGAAGCAAACCTGCCGAGGTGCCACCGTGCCCACCGTGTGCCAGCCAGTGCGGCCGCGCTCCCCAGTCCGCCAGTGGCCAGCATCCAGGGCAGGCAGCGCTGGTACCCACCCTGCCCTGGACCCAGCATCCGGTGCCAGGACCCCCACTCACCGCCCCGTCCAGCCGCTGCCCATGGGGCCTGGGGACATGGCAGGGACAGCCGGGGCAGAGCAGAGCTCACAGTGCAGCCAAGGCTGCCGGGAGAGGCCAGCGCTCGCCTGACCTACTTCTCCTTCCGCATCACCTGCTTTCATTTTCCCTCGCCATGGCTTGTCCCCCCGCCCGCATACGCTCCCCCCCCCGAGCCACGCCACCGGCCCCTGGGGTGCCGGGGCCCCCCGGGCAGCGAGCACCTGAACTGCCCATCCATCCCCGGGCACGGGGCACGGCCACGCACCGGCCGCGCTGAAGGTCACCGGCACCGGCTGCTTCCCCCGCTGCCTGCGCGGCCACCCGAGCGTCATCTCCCTGGCACGAAGCGAGTTGGACGGGTCTCAGCCCAGCCCCTCGCTGGGTCCTCCGCTTGCCCCGGGGCTCTCTGGGGTGTGGACAAGCAGCTCCCGGGGCACGGCGGGGACGCGGGGAGCCGGGCGGGCGCCAGCACCCCCCTCCAGACGGGGCGGGCTCCCCCCAGCAGCTCCCGAGGTGGGGTTACCATGGGAAGGCGGCGGCGCAGGGGGAGCGCGGGCTCCCGGGGGCTCCCGCCAGCGGCCGCGCTGCCAGGAGAGATTTCTCCGTGGTTTCATCATCCCCCGCCCGCCCCGGAGGAGAAGCTCCTGCTCCGCGCACGGGGCAGCGGCCGCCCCTCGAGGGCCGGGGAGCGGGGGGTCCTGCGGGCCCCGCACCCCTCGCTGCGCCCGCGGCCCCCCCCCCGCCATGCTCGGACCCGTCGCGCTCGTGCCACGTGTGCACCGAGGGTGCACAGCACCAGCTGGCAGAGCCGCGCTGCCACGGCCTCGGGCTCAGCACCACGGCCATGCCACGCCGGGCCCTGGCCGGGGGTCTCAGAGGGTCCCCAGAACCCACCATTGATGTCTCCCCCCCCGGGTCACCTCCCTGGGCCCGTTCACTCTCTCTGCGTCCCTGTCCTCAGTGAGGGCACCCCAGCCCCGACGCCCCACACCCTCCCCTGCCCCACAGCTTCCCCTTCTCCACGCACACGCTTCAAGTTCCTGAGCCAAACCCCTCCCTTGGCGCCCAGCGCCGGCATCACCGCCGAGGCCTCGAGCTGCCAGCAGCTGCCGTGTGCCAGTGCCAGGGGACCCCATCCCCACCCCCCAGCCTGGCTCTGGCGGGGGACACAGACACACCAAGACTCACCCCAGGCCAAACCTGGCACTGAGTCCTCTTGCCTGGCAAAAGCCACCCTGGGTCAAGGGCGGCTGTGGCCCAAGACGCAGCTCTGCACCGGCGTGGGCCGCGGCAGGAGGGTAAATACCGCACCCCGCCTCGGGCAAACAGCCGGCCGGGGGGGGACAAGCACAGCAGCTCTGTGTGCGCGGGGCAGAGTCCACCGGTGCTCGGCGGGTGCCACTGAGGCACCGGGTCCGACGGGCACCCCCGTGGTGGTCCCTGACCAACGGCCAGCAGCCAGGCACCCACCACCGCTGCCAGCACACCAGGCCCAGCAGGTCACCAGCATGGCGCAGGGTGCCAGGACATGGAGACCCCCACCCTCCGCTCACATCTCTATCGGCACCGGCGCAGTGGGGCTGGCTCCCGAGCTGCCTCCCCGCCGCACCGGTGCTGCCGCTGCCCGGTGCACATGGGGATGCGGCTAAGCTTCTTCATGGGGCCAGGAAGGGCGGGGGGATGGCGGCAGCACCTGCTCACCTATGGGGTGAGTGCAATGGGGACCGCGGCTGAAGGGCAGCACCGGAGCCGGCGGGGATCGACCGGTGTCACCAGTTTCCCGCAGCCCCGTCCGGAGGGACCGGGAAGACCCCACGCGCGGCCCCCCTCCACCCCACGGGCGACGTGACCACCGGCTCCAGCGCGGAGCAGCGGGCGGGAGCTCCGCACCCCGCCGGCAGCATCCCGGCCCCACGCGACTCACCGCAACCGGGCTGCGATCAAGCGGTCGCCGCACCGGCAGCGGTACCGGTCGGTCGTTGTCCGCGCAGCCCCCGCCGGTCAGGTCCGTTCCGCTCCCACCCGCGCCGCTCACCTGCGCGCCCCGCCCGAGCTGCGGGACGGTCCCGGGGCCGCGGCCCCGCCTCCGCCTTCACCTGCCGCCGCCGCGCCCCGCCCGCGCCCCCCCCCCCGCCGCCGCCGCCGCCGCCGGGGCTCCAGGAAGCGCCCGCCCCGCTCCGCTCATTGGGCAGCGCGCCGGCGGTCCGGCCTCCCATTGGCGGGGAGGGCCGCCCATCAGCCCCGCCACACCCCCCCCCCCCGGAGGGCGGGGGCCACGCGGGCTCCCCCCGGGGAACGGGGAGCGCTTGGGGGGGGGGGGGGGGCATGGGAAGAGCTGAGTCAGAGCCGGGGGACGGCGGCGATCGCCGGGCCCGGCGCCGGGACTGGGGGGGTGGGGGTGGGAGGGCAGCACCGGACCCCCGCCGCCTCGCCCGGTGCCAGGCGCCGAGCCCCGCTGCCGGCCCGCCCCGCTCCGCTCCGCCCCGTGGGCACGGGGGGCGGGAACCGGGCCCGGGAGAGCCGGGCACCGTGCGGGGAGAGCCGGGCACGGAGCGCAGGCAGCGGGGTGCGAGGGGCGCGGCGGGGCCTCCCCCGCTCCCGGCGGCGCTGGGCAGGGCGCGGCGGCAGCGGCCCCCCCCCCCCCGAGCGGCCCCTCCGCAGGTGCCGGGGCGGGGACCCCGTGTAACCTGTTTGGCCGCCGCCGGCCCCCGGGAGGCGGCGGGGCCCGGCCCGGCCCGGCGCTCACCTCGGCTCACCCCGGCCCCCCTCCCCCCGGCTCCTTCTGACTCAGAGCCCGGCCGCTGCCCGGCGCTGGCGGAAAGTGTGAGGAGCCGGAGCCGCCGCCGCGGGCTGCCAAGGCAAACACCGCCCCGCGCAGACGTTATGTCAGCCGGGCCGCGCCGGGGGCACCGATACGCCACCGGTCTCCCCGCCCAGCTCTCCGCCCGCCGGGGCCCGGTACCGGGTACCTGCCGCCGTGCCTCGGTCCACCTGCCTCACCGCACCCCCCCACCTGCATCCCCATCCGCCCGCCCGCATACCCTGCCCGGACCCGTACCCACCCGCCCTGCCCGGGGCTCCCGCAGCGGGAAACAGGGAAGAGTGGAGAAACCCGCGGAAAACCCGCTCCACCCTCCCGGCCCCACCGCCCCCCGGCCCGGACCCGGTGCCCCCGCCGCTCCCCGCAGCCGCTGCCGGAGCTGTCGGTGCTCTCCCGGGGGCCGCCGCCCGCTGCCCCGCAGGGCTCCCGAACTCACCTCCTGCCCGCGGGTCGCGGAGGGGCCGGTGCCGGACGGGGGCCGCGGGCCCGTGTCAGCCGGGCCGGCGGCGTGGCAGGAAGGACCGGGCGGTCATCGCGGCCCGGGCGCGGCCGCCTGCAGAGGGCACTGCCGGTCCCGGAGCCGGGCCCCGCAGGCGGCGAGCGCGGCCCCGCGCGGCACGGACGCGCCCGGCGACACCAAAGGGGTCTTTGGTGCCGGTGGCACCGTTTATTTGGGCTATAAATACCGGAATGTCCCGGACCGGCCACAGCACCCGCCCCGCACCCGTCAGCTGTGCTCACCTGCCCCACAACCTACTACACACCCATCCAGCTGTGCTCACCTGCCCCACAACCTACCACACACCATCCAGCTGTGCTCACCTGCCCCACAACCTACCACACACCATCCAGCTGTGCTCACCTGCCCCACAACCTACCACACACCCATCCAGCTGTGATCACCTGCCTAATGCACACCCATCCAGCTGTGCTCACCTGCCCCACAACCTACCACACACCATCCAGCTGTGCTCACCTGCCCCACAACCTACTACACACCCATCCAGCTGTGATCACCTGCCTAATGCACACCCATCCAGCTGTGCTCACCTGCCCCACAACCTACCACACACCATCCAGCTGTGCTCACCTGCCCCACAACCTACTACACACCCATCCAGCTGTGATCACCTGCCTAATGCACACCCATCCAGCTGTGCTCACCTGCCCCACAGCCTACCACACACCCATCCAGCTGTGATCACCTGCCTAATGCACACCCATCCAGCTGTGCTCACCTGCCCCACAACCTACCACACACCATCCAGCTGTGCTCACCTGCCCCACAACCTACTACACACCCATCCAGCTGTGATCACCTGCCTAATGCACACCCATCCAGCTGTGCTCACCTGCCCCACAACCTACCACACACCATCCAGCTGTGCTCACCTGCCCCACAACCTACCACACACCATCCAGCTGTGCTCACCTGCCCCACAACCTACCACACACCCATCCAGCTGTGATCACCTGCCTAATGCACACCCATCCAGCTGTGCTCACCTGCCCCACAACCTACCACACACCATCCAGCTGTGCTCACCTGCTCCACAGCCTACCACACACCATCCAGCTGTGCTCACCTGCCCCACAACCTACTACACACCCATCCAGCTGTGATCACCTGCCTAATGCACACCCATCCAGCTGTGCTCACCTGCCCCACAACCTACCACACACCATCCAGCTGTGCTCACCTGCCCCACAACCTACTACACACCCATCCAGCTGTGATCACCTGCCTAATGCACACCCATCCAGCTGTGCTCACCTGCCCCACAGCCTACCACACACCCATCCAGCTGTGATCACCTGCCTAATGCACACCCATCCAGCTGTGCTCACCTGCCCCACAACCTACCACTCACCCATCCAGCTGTGCTCACCTGCCCCACAACCTAATGCACACCCATCCAGCTGTGCTCACCTGCCCCACAGCCTACCACACACCATCCAGCTGTGCTCACCTGCCCCACAACCTAATGCACACCCATCCAGCTGTGCTTGCCTGCCTAATGCACACCCATCCAGCTGTGCTCACCTGCCCCACAGCCTACCACACACCATCCAGCTGTGCTCACCTGCCCCACAACCTACCACTCACCCATCCAGCTGTGCTCACCTGCCCCACAACCTAATGCACACCCATCCAGCTGTGCTCACCTGCCCCACAACCTACCACACACCATCCAGCTGTGCTCACCTGCCCCACAGCCTGCCCCACACCCATCCAGCTCTGCTCACTTGCCCCACAACCTGCCTCACACCACCCAGCTGTGCCCCTGTTGCCTGCCTCGGCCCTGGCCCTCCCTTCCACTGCTCTTGCCTCTGTCCTATTTCCCTCTCCTCCTGCAGCCCCCGGTTCCTGCCATTCTGTGTTGCCACTCCCACCCCCCGGGGGGGGCACGGAGGGGGGGGCTCCTGCCTCGAGCTTTGCTATTTTTTTTACAAAATTAATATAAATTAAAATAAATTTAACCATTAAAATAAAATAAAAAAGGGAGAAAGAGATTAAATAGTGCCCTGTGCCAATGAGAGCTCTGTGGCTGGGCAGCGGGGGCCAGGCACTCCAGGCACTGGCTCCCCCCACCCCGAGGCTGGAGCAGAGGGTGCCCTGGGCCAGGACAGCCTCACTGCAGGGAGAGGCTGGGGGGCAGTGGGGGGGCCCCAGCTCATGTCCCCCTTTGCAAACCGCTTTCGGGGGGTCTCCCTGGCAGCCCACCGCCCACTGCAGCCCCTCAGCGTGGCCGGTTCAGCAGGACCTCGAGCCAGCAGGGGCAGGAGGTGATGAACTGCCGGGAGTAGCAGGGCCCCCAGCCCTTGGCAAAGCTGATGCGGACGCTGTGGGGGTCACAGGGGCCCTCCCCAGGGACCCGCCGGCCCCCGCCCCCCCCCACGCGCTCGTAGTCGAACACCTTGGCCGAGTAACCGGGCAGCACCTTGAGGACGGGGAGCCCGCGGGCGCCAGGGGGACCCAGGGTAGGCGAGCTGACGAAGATGGGGTGCTCGCTGCGGTTGTAGGCCCACACGCCCCCTGGCTCCCGGCTCAGCAGCAGCCCCCGGCCGATCTTGCCCCGCGCCCGCCGCACGGCCCGGCTGCGGTGAGCGGCCGGTAACTGCCCCAGGCAGAAGCCGCTGCCCCGCGGCAGCTCGCAGAACACGTTCACCGAAGCCTCGTGCACGGCGTAGAGGCGCCCCACGCGCGTACGGTGCTCCCAGTAAGCCAGCTTGCACCAGCAGCCGTCCTTAATAGTGCTCCGTGAGAGGCTGGTGTCTGGTGGGAAGGAGAGCATCACCATCACCATCGGGCAGAGACACCCATGGGCGAGCCGTGCGGCTGGAGGAACCGAAGGGAGAGGGTCCGGGGGGTCCATGCTCCCATGGTCCCCACCGGAGCTGTGGCAGTGGGTGGATGGATGGACACGGCCTCGCAGGGATGCTCCAGGGCAGGCTCTGCCACCGGGGCGGGGGGCACCGCTGATGCCAGCGCACGGGGCCAGCCTGTCCCTGGCCGCAGTCCCCCGGGAGCACGGTGAGGGGGATCCCCGTGCGTGAGGAAGGCGCGGCCCCGGCTCCCGGTGCCGGTGGCCGGCGGCCAGGCTGGAGCTGCGGCCGTGTGCGTCAAGGCGCATTGTGTGCGTCCCCGCGGGCAGCGCTTCCTCCGGCACCGAGCCCGCCGGCGCCAGAAATAACAGGAGCCGCGGTGGGGGGGGCCCCGGCAGGAACCCCTCGTCCTGCGCCAGAGCCTTTTCCTCCCAGCGGGAGCGGCTGCCGGCCCCGCTCCCCAGGTCCCAGGCTCCGTGTGCCCCACCGGAGCCGGAGGGGGGGATACTGCCCCGTGTCCGTGGGGCAAAGCGGGGGGGGGGGGGGGGAATCAAGCAGCCCGTGCCGGGACCCTCTTACCACGCCAGTGGCCACCATCGTAGCTGAACTCCAGGAGCTGGGTGCCGGGGAACGGCGTCTCATCCGGCCAGGAGGGACAACAGGACACCTTCGAGTAGGGGGGCGGCGGGGTCTCTGGGGGAGAGAAGGGGACGAGGGGCTGGGACGTGCATCCTGCACCCCGCCAGAGCCCGGAGCCCCCCCCACCGGCAGCACCCGGCCGCGGGCAGCACTCACCGGGCACAGCCAAGCGGCTGAAGTGATGCGGGTTGCAGCAGAGCGCGGCCGCGTCCCCGCAGCCCCCCCGGCCCCCGGCGCAGTAGCAGAGGTGCTTGAGCTCATGGGGCTGCCGCAGGTCGGGCCAGCGGTAGAGGCGGCAGAGCAGGACCTGGGGGGGCAGTGCCTGCTTCACCCCCCCCCGAGACTCCCCCCGCGGCGCCCACACGCAGCCGGACTCGCAGGCCCCCCGGCTCTCCACCGCCTGCACCAGCAGCTCCAGCTCCTCATCCTTCAGCTTCTTGAACAGGGCATGAGCCGCCGGTTTGAGCGCACCGGGGCCGTCCTCGGGGCCGGCGGCCGCGCAGCGCTGCCGCCACAGCCGCCTCACCAGCGCGGCGCGGCGTGAGCGGAACATGGGGGCCGCTGCGGGACGGGGACAAGCGTCACCTGGAGTCGGTTCCCCGCAGTGACCGCCCTGCCCCGTCCCCACAGACCCCGAGGACACAGCGCTGGCCCTGGGGGACGGTGTCCCCAAAGGCCCTGTGGGGATGTGACCCCAAAACCGATCCCCGGGGCAGGGGAGCCCACCCGTGGCGAGGGCAGGGGTCTGTGTGTGTCCCCCCCCCCCACCGGACTGGGACAGGGTCCCTAGGGAAGAGGTCCCTGGGATAGGGTCTCTAGGAAAGGGTCCGTGGGGATGGGGTCCCTGAGATGGGGGCCTTGGGAACAGGGTCTCTGGAGATAAGGTCGCTGGGGAAGGGTCTCACTCACGGCACAGCAGATCTGGGTGCGCGGGGATGGGGCTGCGCACGGGGCCGCGCTCTCCGGCTCCGCTCTGCCCGTGCCCCGCCGCTACCCCGGCTTTTTCCTGTGCGGGGACGTTCTCCCCTCCCCCGGACCTCCCCGTCGGGGAACTCATTGATTCGCCCCGTCCCGGCCGGCCCCGGGGCTGAGCCACCGCGGGGCTGGGGCAGGCGCCAGGCGCGTGGGCTCCGGCTCAGGGCCGCGCTGTGGGGGCTGCTGGAGCCAACCTGGCTCCCGGGGGCAGCCGACACCGGTGCTTGGCCACAGCGACCCGGGCAGGGGGGAGCCATGGAGGGCACGGGCCCGGCAGCCCCCAGCCCATATGGGCACAACCTGAGCCCCACTGACACCCAAAGCGGGGTCCCCGCTGCCCCCCAGCCCTCCCCCTGGCCAGGCCCCCCCCAGGGGCGCTGGGCGAGGATGGGAGCCTGCTCTACAACAAAGCCGTTAATGTAAACGGGACCCTTATCCCGCGCCGGGCTGGGCTTCCTGCTCCCAACTTCCCGCCGAGATAAGGGAGGCCGCGCTGGCGCCAGGCACTGCCGCCGGGGCTGGGGCCTGGCTCCGGCACCAAGGGGCACAGGGGGCACGGGGACCCCCTGTGACCCACAGCACAGCCCCACCGGCCGTGACCTCCCTGCAGGTCCGGCCACGCTGGGCCTGTCGGGGACGTTCTGCTCTGTCTGCTTCCCGCTGGCTCTTGGCAGCGCCAGGGCCGGGGCAGGAAAGGGCCTGGAGCAGGGACAAGGGGAGATGCTCTTCAGACAAGGGGCTGAGTCATGGATGGGGATAGAGGTGGCTGAGGGACAGGCAGGACACGGCTCCTGCCCCAAGGGGCCCCAGGCAGAGGTGACGTTGGGGGGTGCCTGGGACCTACCCAGGGTGAGGGCTGGGACAGGACATGCCCCCCTGCCCCGAGTCCTCCCCAAGCACACGCAGCTGCTCAGGTGCTACTCAGGTTTATTGGGGTCTCTGTGATGGCAGAGTGGGGTCCCAGCACTGGGTGTCCATTGGCTCCATCAGCATGGGGCAAAAAGCAGGCAGGCCTGGGGAGAGGAGAGAGGTGAGGACCCCCTTACAGCACCATGGCTGCACCCCTCAGCCCCCAGGAGCAGCATGGCCAGGCTCCTGTCACCCCTCAAGCACCACTGTTGAGCTCTCATCACCCCTCAAGCACCATGGCTGGGCCATTGTCCCCCAAAGTCCCCATGGCTGGGACCCCAGCATCTCCCCAAGCACCATGGCCAGGCCCTTGTCCCACCCCAACCACCACAGCTGGGTCCCCGTCCCCCCCCAGCCCCACACCGAGCAGGTGGCCGAGGGCAGGGCACTCACCCGTCACTGCGCAGGGCAGACAGGAGGTGCCGGGGGGGGTCCATTCCTAGTCCAGCAGCTCATGGATGCACCAGCTGCAGAGCAGGAGGTACACGCACTCCCGCAGCAGCCGCAGCAGCCAGGAGGCCAGGCGCAGCCCCAGCGAGGTGCTGACAGGTACCGGCAGTGCCACGGCCCGCACCGATTGCCTCACGGTGCCCAGCGGCTGGGCTCGGAGCAGGCGCATGGCCGAGGGCTCAGCGGGGTCTGATGCGGGGACGCGGCCGTGCGGGTGCGTGGCGAGCGCTGGAAACTACTCCATTCTCTGTGCTTTAAAAGCCTCCACAATAGAGGGGGTGCAGCAGGGGGAACCCTTTAGTTCTGAGCTGGCCTTACCCCCCCAAGCCCCGAAGGGATGGGCAGAGCCAAGCACGAGCACGATGCAGACGCAGGCTGAGCGCAGCAGGTTTATTCAGTGCTGGCAGGCAACAGGTTTATTCAGTGTCATACCCAGGGGTGCCCGTGGGGCCTTCACCGGCGGGACGTGCGCTCCTCCTCCTCGTTTTCCAGCTCATAGGCAGGCCGGTACCGGTCCCGGCCCTGGCTGTCAGTGTAGCGCAGTGCTGGGTTCTTGAGCGTGTTGGCCATGCTCCCCAGGGACGTGTAGCTGCAGAGGGAGAAGGCAGCTGCCAGGCTGCACCCCGGGGCACTGGCTCTGCCAAGCGGGGCATGCAGCACTGGACACCAACCCCTTGTCATACAGGACGCAGTAGGGGATAAAGAGCTGGCGCAGGAACTCCCAGATGTCCCGGTAGGTCCAGTCCTGCAGGTAGAATTGGGCAGGGGTTGACACAGAGATCCCAGAGGAGACAAGTGCCCCCCACAAGAGCACACAGGGGAGCCCCAGAGCGCTCCTGTCCCTCCTGGGGCACCCGCAAATGCAGGAAAAGCCCCTCTTCAGGCAGGAAGGAGCCTGGTCTGACAGCACCAGGCAGCTTGGCTGCAGTGAGGGGCACCCATCTGTGCAACAGTGTGGGAAATGCTCTGGGGAGAAGCCCTCCAGGATGGGCGTGGGTTAGTGCCAGCTTCCAGCTCCATCACTTGAGCCTGCTCCAGAGCAAGAGGAGGCTACGTACCAGCAGGGGGTTCACCCGCATGTATGGGGGCCAGCTGGGGTCCGTCAGGCACATAGGGGTCAAGGTGCGTGAGTAGGGGTCCGTGCGCCGTGTCCCCATCAGCACAGCCTCGAGCTGCGGCTGCTGCTCCTTCAGGTGCACCAGAGCCTCCTGGATGGAGCCCTCCACGGTGCAGAGCTGCACCTTGTACCTGTGCAGGCAGGGCGGGAGCTGCTGTGGGGCTGCAGGGCTCCCTGCTCACCCCACAGCCTGCCCCTCACCCCCTGCACCTCTGCACAGTGGCCTGGATGAACTGCTCCATCTCAGGGAAGGGGGACACGATGCGGATGTAGAGTACCTGCAGCTTCTCTTGCCTCACCGGGTACCGCCTGTGGAGAGACCCATCACCCAGGGGCTCTGTACCCCTGGAATCCACGTGTTCCCCCAGAGCAGGCCAGGGGAGAGCCCCGGTTGGAGCCCATGGGACCCCCTCAGCCTGCCCCAGGCCGGGTACCTCTCCACAGCAGCATGGACGAGGTGCAGCAGGGCTGTGCAGTCCTTGCCCCCGTTGAAGCCCACGCAGAGCTGGGCCAGGCTGTACCGCTCCAAAGCCTCCTCGATGGTCCGCAGAGCTGCTGCCACCTTCTGCCCCAGGGCTGAGCCTGCTGGGACAGGGCAGTTGGTGCCTGCCCGGGGTTATGCTGCCTAAGCAATGCCCCAGGGCCCGTGGTACCTTGGCCTTCAGGCACATCTTGTCTCCAGACACACCATGGAGCCAAGAGCTTGCATAACCCGGAGGTCTGTGCCACGGATGGGACAGGGATCCTGCCAGCACCGTGGCTCAGCTCCCTCCAGCACAGGTTGTGCTCTCAGGGAGCGGGACCCGATGGCCTGAATTGGGGTTCTGGGTCCCACTCCCACCTGTGGCTGTGGCAGTAGCAGGGCCGCAGCAACCCTCAAGCCCCCCAGAACAGGCAAACTCTGCTCCCAGGCTGGTCTTCCCACTGCACTGGTCCTGTGAGGCTGGGCACTGCTTTACAGTGAGGGTGGTAAAGCCCTGGCACAGGCTGCCCAGAGAGGCAGTGGATGCCCCATCACTGGAGACAGCCCAGTCCAGGCTGGATGCGGTTCTGAGCAACCTGCTCTAGCTGGAGGTGTCCCTGCCCACTGCAGGGGTTGGACTGGATGAGCTTTGGAGGTCCCTTCAACCCCAACTGCTCTGCGACTCTATGATTCCCTGTACCTGACTCAGCCAGGCCGTAAACCTCCATGGCCGCTGGCGCGATGCAGTCCGTCACCAACGGCACAACAACGCCCGGCGGCAGCTTCTCCATCAAGAAGTGATGTGCTTCCTCCAGGTCCTGCTCCGACTCCGAGTCCAGCATCAGCTTCACCCGGTAGTAGTTACTGGCCCAGTCCGGGTAGGAGCCCAGACTGACACGGCCCTGGAAGGCGGCATTGACCTGGTCCAAGGCGGGCGCGATGAGCACCTCGTCGGCCGCCACGTAGACGGCGCGGGAGTGGAACCGGGTCTGCTCGCTGCGGAAGAGGTGGGCGAAGCCGTCCAGGGCGCGCTCCATCAGCGCCGGGATGCCAGGGAAGATGTAGACGTTGCGCACGCTGACCAGCGGGTACTTGAAGGCGCTGCCCGCGCCGTAGTTGAGGCGGGAGGACGCGGGGACGAGCGCCAGCTTCATCTCGGGGCACTGCGCGTCCGTGGCACCGAAGAGCCGGTGCACCAGCGCCACCAGCTCGGGGTGGGGAGCGACCTGCTCGCCAAAGGCCCTGGCCACGGCCTCGAAGGTCACATCGTCGTGCGTGGGGCCGATTCCCCCCGAGGTGAGCACGAAGGTGAAGCGGGCGGCGAAGGCGGCCACCTCGCCCGCGATGGCCTCCACGTCGTCGGGCACCACCGAGATCCGCGCCACCCGCACGCCCAGGGCGCGCAGCCGCCGGCACATGAAGAACGAGTTCGTGTCCTGCGTGTGGCCCTGAGGGGGAACGGAGACACGGGTGACGGGGGGGGGGGTACCGGGGCAGCCCCCCCGCAGCCCCGGCCGCACCTTGAGGATCTCGTCGCCGATGACGATGATGCCGGCGGTGCTGCCCCGCGCCGCGGCGGGGCCGGGGGCGGCCATGGGGCTGGAGGAGGCGGCGCGCAAGGCCCCGCCCGCCCGCAGCGCCCCCCGCAGCGCTCCCCACATGGGCCCGGCGCGCCGCTCCGCCGCTCTCAGGCCGCGGTACCGCCTCACGCTCCCATTGGCCAGGCGGCGCGTCCGTCACAAGGCGCTGCGGGCGCGGATTGGTCAGGAGGCGGGACCCGGCGGGGACAGAACCATCGCGGTTGGGTGGGGGAGCTGCGGCCGCGGGCCCGCCCGTCGGGAGAAGGCACGTGCGGCGCCGCGGGGCACCGGGAGCTCCTTCCCCCCGTCCCTTCCCATCCGCACCGGAGCGCTCCAGCACCCCCCAACACCGCCCTCCATCATCACCCCCCTCCCCAACCACCGGGAGGATCCCCCCCCCCCCGTACCGGGCGCCCCCCGCCGCCCCCGTTCCCAGCGCAGCACGCAGGAGGTCACAAACAAACATCTCTTTATTGACCATAGAAACAGACAGCAAGCCGGGGCTGAGCAGCCAGTGCTGAAGCGCCCGGGTAGCGCCGGGAGGCGTGGGGCAAAACTCCCCGAGGGTGATGCTGAGGAGGAAGGTGCTGGCTCTGCTCGGGCCGGGGGCCTCTCACTTCTCCGGCTTCTTGGGCAGCGGCCGGCGGAAGAGCAGGATGTGCGGCTCTGCGGGATAACGGGGAGAGGGGGACGGCGGTGTCAGGCCAGGCCCCGCGGCCGCAGCCCCCCCCTCCGAGGCTCACCTGGCTCGTGGATCATGTAGTGCACCCAGCCCTGGCTCTGCTGCACGCCCAGGTTCCGCCACTCCGACTCCGAGAGCAGGTGGGTCTTGGGCACCAGCTTCGCGATGTCCTTGGGCAGCATCACGTGCCTGCAACGCCGCGGCCTCAGCCGGGACCGGGGACACCGGGGCCACAACCCCAGGGGAACCGGTACCGGACATCCCCCCCCCCCCCGAGGTGCGCCTTTACCGGGACATTTCCCACTCCCAACGGAGCCGTTATCGGGGCGTTTACCCCCCGAGGGAGCCGCTACCGGGAAATCCGCCCCCCAGCAGAGCCGTTACCTGGACACCCGCCTGCCCCCCCCCTCCGAGCCCCCCACGGCCCCGCCTCACCGGTACTCGAACTCCTCATCGTCGTACTTGTCGGAGTAGTAGATCTGTTTGTGCGCCATGGCCCGCTCCTGCGGCCGCCCCTCCCCGCCGCCCCCCCGCGCCCTCACCTCAGCGGCCGTTGGCGCCGCCCCCCCTCGCGGCGCTTTCAAACGCCGCCGCCCCGCGCGCTCAGTGGCCGGCTCCGCGCAGCGGGCGGGGCGGAGCCGGCTCCCATTGGCTGCCGCTCGCAGGGCGCCGCTGGCCCGCGGGGAACAAGCGGGCGCGCTATTGGGGGAGCCGGATCACGTGGCGGGGGCGCGGTGAGGCCGTGCTGGAGGGTGCGGGCCGGAAGTGAGTCGCTGGTGCGGCGCGGGGTCGGGGGGCAGCGGTGCGGGCGCCGCCGGGACCGGAGGAGGCCGGCGGGAGACCCATGGTGCCCCGGTGAGCGCTGAGGGCCGGCCCGGGCGGGGGGAGCCGCCGCCAGGCACCGCGGCGGGGTTGGCGCGGCCTGCGCAGCACCCGTGGGAGCGGCAGGGCAGTGGGGCCGGGTCCTCGCCGCTCGCTGCCGCGCGGGGCCTCCCCCGTGCTGACCGTTCCGTTGTGTCCAGGTCTCGGTTCGCTCCGGTGCCCGCTCCCGGTGCGGCGGTTGCGCTGCGTGCCCGGGGCCTGTCGCTGCGCTCCGGCTCGGATCGCCCTGTGTGGGGTGTGCCGGGGCAGCTTGGGGGACCCCAGAGCACGGCCTCAGCGGGGACAGGGCGCCGGTCCGTTTCCAAGGGAGCCGTGCCCTCAAGCTCTGTCTGTGCTCCGCAAGGACAAGCCGCGGGGCAGCCCCGGGTGATGCCGACCGCGGTGGACGTTCCCCGTTGCGGGTCTTTGCCGCCTCCGCAGCGTGTCGTGTCCGTTACAGGCTGTTCCTGCTGCTCCGGTTGAGCTGCGGAGCTCCCTGGCTGTGGGTTGTGCGGACGCGTGTCCTGGGCCCTGCCAGCCTTGGCCCCCGGTGTCCGAACGGCCTCGTCACCACCAGAGGGGTCTGGCGCGGTGCTGCCAACCTGCGCTGTAGCACTTGCCAAGCAGGGCCCTCCTTATCGCAGTAATCGTGTTAGTGCCCGCCCGGGCTCCGGCGCAGGCCCCAGATAAGGGCATGATTGCTGCAAGGAAGTAAATCACGTTGCTGCCCTGCGCTGCTCGGCCTTGGCCGGGCACTGGGGGTGGGAAGAGCAGGGGCTCTGGAGCTGCTCCTGCTTTGCTTGCCTTGTTTTTCCCTTGCCCTTCCTGGGTTTCCTGCCCTTCCTGGGTCCCCCCTCGGAGCTTCTTCCCATGGCTTTCTTCTCCACCGCTCCCCTGAGACGAGGGGTCTGCATTGCTGGGGGCTTTGTACGTCCTTGTGGTGCCAGCCAAGGGGGTGGCAGGAAGGGGCAGCTCTGCCCCCCCCCCCCCCCATCCCGGGCTGCCTTTGCTCTCCCTGTGTGCGTGTGGCCGCTCTGTGCTGGTTTTGGGGGTTGGCTCCAACCCCCATTTCCATTTGCTGCTGTGGGCAAGGTCTGAGCAGAGTCAGGCCTCATGCTCCTTCCCAGCACATCCCATCTCCATCCCTGCTTGGAGGGGAAGCAGGAGGCTTCTCTGGATCTCTTGCCCCGTGGTGGCAGTGCTGCAGCCCTGTGGTCAGTGAGGAGGAGGAGGAGCAGGGTTTGCCTCGGTGCGAGGGCCAGCAGGGCAGGGCTGGCTAACTCCCTGTTTGTCCCCGAACCGCAGGTCGGATGCCACACGAGAGGGGCTGTGCGCTTCTGTTCCCTGCCTGGGGCCTGCCCTGCCCTCCGCGGCGATGGAGTACGTGGTAAGGACCGCGGTGGAGGGCGAGGTGGCTTCGGTGGTGGATCCTGCCTCCCCCCTCTCCTTGCTGGCAGGGCTTCAGCCTCCTCCTCACATCTCATCTGGCATGTCCTGGCTCCTCTTCTCAGCAGCAGAGGTGCTGGCAAGGAACACGTAGGTGCCATATGATGCTCTTGTGATTAGAGTTGTGTTTTTTTTGCTTCCTCCATACCCTGGAGGCTTGGGGATGGCTCTGTTGTTGGACCGAGAGGGTCTCTTGCCCCCGGCAAGGTGCTTACGTGCGGCAGCAGCTGGTGCACGACTGCCTGCTCCTCGCTGCAGCTTCTTGCCAAACCACTGGTGTGTTCCAGGTCTGTGACTCAGCTCCCACTTTGTGTTTCCTGGGAGGATGTAGGGCCAGCGCCCCGGAGCACAGCCTCGAGCGTCCCCTCTCTGCTCCTTGCCTCAGGCTGTGTGTGAAGTCTCAGCCCCAGGCACCCAAAAGTAGCCCTTGTCCCTCTGCCTGTCCTGTGTGTGGCAAGGGGAAGGGCAGCTGCCTGCTGGATGGGGCTCATTGCTGCATCTTCAGGCAGGGCCCTTGTTCTGTGGCCTCTGCTTTATGTGCTCTGAGCCTGCTAGAAAGGGCTCTTGGATGCCCAGGAATGGGCTGTGGTGACTATTCCTTGTCTTTCCAAGGGCTGAGAGCAGCAATACATCTTGTGACTGCCCAGTGCAGGCTGGTGGGGTGACATGGACTGAGTGGCCTCAGGAGGTTCTGATACAATCAGAAATGATTCCATCTTGGAAAAGTAGAGGCCTGTGTGCGGCTCCGGGGGTATCAGGGATGGCTGCTCCGAGCCCCATTGTCTGGCCGGGCCCTGAGCTGGTGGGAAGGGGCAAAGGAACCCCCCCATCCCCTTTGCAGTTCCCTTCTGCTCTTCCCTGGGGAAGCGCTTGTGCTCACGGAGCTGCTGCTGCCGTGCCAAGGGATCCTGGCCCCACATCCGCCGGTGGCCGGGCCCTCGGTGGCTCCCCCCCGGCAGCAGGGGGCTGCGGCTGCCCCTCGCGGGGCTGGCGGCTTCCTGGCTCCCTGGCCCCGGCTTCCTGCTTTTCTTTAGTGCCGTGGCCACGGGAAGGTCACAGCACAGGGGCCCCCGGCGGGGACGAGCTCGTTGGAGGACAGTACCGCGGGCTGCCGGCGCCAGTGGCGGCTGAGGTGGGGCTGGCGTCGCGGCGCTCCAGCACCGGGAGGGTGATGAACCCACCGGCGTGAGCCGTGGCCCCTCGCACCGGGCTGGAGCCTATTTCCAGCTCGGTCCTGGCTTCGTTTCCCTGTCCCCGTGGCGCGGTGCCAGAGCTCGAGAAGTACGGTCGGCAGCCGGGTCCAAGCAGGGAGAGCCCTTCCCTTGGGCTGGATTGACCCGGGGTTGGCGCTGTGGCTGGTGCTCAGCAAGGCCCCTGTCTGTGGTGGGTTAGAGGGGTTGAAATCCCTGCTTCAGCCATGTGAGGTGGAAGCAGGGAGACAGAGAAGGAAGGGGAGAGCTTTTGCACCCTGGGGGAGGCTCATACGGATTGATGGTGCCGCCGGTGCGCTGGGAAGGGGGGAGCGGGTGCCCCCGATCTCCGCACCCGCTGCTGGGGGCTCCCCCCGCTGCAAGGGGCCGCAGTTTGCTCCCCGCTCGCTCCCTCCCGCTGGCTCCGCCTGTGACCTTGATTTTTCCGCTCCAGATAGGCGCAGGGTCCCCTCCCCTCGCCGCCAGCCCCTCCTGCGCTGCAGCCCCTGCCCGTGAGTCAGCACGGCCCTTCCGAGCAGCGGCGGCCGCTCAGCCCCGCGCCCGCCGGGCTGCGGGAAGCAGCAGCCGCGAGCAGCAGCCGCGTCTCCCGCCCGCGCTAAGCCCACCTGTATCCTGCTCCTTGCGCATCCTCCTGCTCCCGAAGGATCGCTGTCCCTGCATACCCGCCGGCTGCGAGCGCCGCTGGCACCTCAGCATCGCGGCCCCCGGCAGCGCACGGCGAGCCAACGGCGGCCGCCCGCTGCCGGCACGTGGGTTGCGTGGCTTTGGCCACCAGAGAAGGACCTTGTTCGCTCCTGGCCGGTGCTCGCAGCGGGGCTGGGCCGGGCCTTGGATGCGCTCTGAGGCTGCCTTGTCTCAGGGCGTTAAATATTCATGCTTGATTTCCTCTTAGCGGGGCTGGAGCCAGCTGCGGGGCAGCAGCGCCGGACCGGGCCGAGGGGCTGCAGCCAGCCCCGCCTCAAGACAATGGGATTTGCGGCGGAGAAACGCGGGGCCGTGGGGCTTGAGGAGCTCCGGGCTGGGGGCCGAGCGTGCTGAGCTCCCCCCGGGCGTCGCCACAGCCCCGTTTCCTCCGCGCCGCAGCGGGGTTGCTCTCCGTCCATCCGGATCCGCACATCCTTTGCTGACGCCGCTCGGGATTGATCGGCTGCGCCGGCACGGAGCCGAGCAGCCCCCGGTCCCGCTGCCTGGCGCCCCGGGGCCTGCTCTCGCTGCCGGCCATGCAGGGCTGGCGCAGCCCCGGCACGGAGCTTGGCCGAGGCTTGTGCCTGGGGGCAGCTTCCGCGTTGGGACCCTCCATGGGGCCCCCGTGAGCCTTGGGCGGCTGCTCCAGGCGGGCCGGGCTGGCGCCCCGCTCTCGGCATGGATCTCCTGCAGAAGAGCAAATACAGCCACCTGCGGAACGAGTCCATCTCCTCCCTGGAGGAGGCCGTGGGGGTCCCGGGCTCCCCGGTGGAGCCCTTCCCGGGCACACGATCGCTGTCTGGCTCCTTGTCCTCATCCTCCCTCGGCCCCGTGGCGCCTCTCGGGGAGCTCTCGCCCGAGTCTGAGGACAGTCCCACCACGCTCTGCTCCTTCTTCCCCAAAATGGCCAACCTGAAGCTCTCTAACCCCGCCAACCTGCTCAGCCTGCGCGGCTCCTCTGGCAGCGGCAGCCCCGGGGAGCCCCCGGCACCGGGGGGAAACGCCAGCCCCGGCTCAGCGGGACCTGTTGCTGTCTGTTCCCAGGATATGAACAAGTTGAGCTGCGGGAAGAAGACGCGGGTGGAAGGCGGCCAGCTCGGGGGGGACGAATGGACCCGGCACGGAAGCTTCGTCAATAAGCCCACCCGTGGCTGGCTGCACCCCGATGACAAAGTCATGGGCCCCGGGGTCTCCTACCACGTCCGTGTGAGTGCTGGGGACTCGGGGGGGTGGTGTGGGAAGGGTGATGGGGGGGATTTGGGGACCTCCTGGCATGTTCCTTGGGGGGTGGTAGGTGGGCAGTGGGGTTCCTGGGGTGGTCAGGCTGACCCTGCTCTCTCCCACAGTATATGGGCTGCGTGGAAGTCCTGCAGTCCATGAGGGCTTTGGATTTCA